TGTGTGTGTGTGTGTGTGTGTGTGTGTGTGTGTGTGTGTGTGTGTGTATGAGGAGCCTGGCCTGTCTGAAGTTGCTTTGTATACACACACGTTCAGATCACTGGGTTCCCACCACTATTCCCGTGTCCCAGCAATTCCAGCCCCATTTTTGTGACATGTCTCAGGACAAATGTGTACCTTAGTCAGCTTCAGGACTTTCTTCACTTGCTTGATAGCATCATTAACTTCTTGACTCGGAGGAAGTGCTTGAGAATTACTGACACCCAGGGAAAACCCACCATACCTAAAAAAAAGGCTTGCCATTAAAACCCAGGCGGTGTACCCAACCATCACTCAGCAGCAGATACCGCAGTGCGCACGGTTCTTTGACAGCCATTTCTTACTCAAACTAGGACCAACGTTTGGCTAAGGACAGTTGCATGTTGCCTCCTCTGGCAAAATCTAGCTATCTTACTTCTCAAGACTGCTACCCAACAGGGAGACTGAAGCTAATGACATGGAGTAAGGTATCCATGTCACAGACAAGAAGTCAGGGCTAGTGGTGACGGGCACAGCCTTGAAGGCCAGGTAGGGCTTACAGACAGGCCGTTCCTCCCTGTCATGGGAACCACTATGTGGGCCTATGACTGCTCTGTCCCGAATTCCAGGGATCGTGACCCTTGAAGAAATGGCATAGTGGAAAACTGGAACTTAGAACAAGTCTACGAGGTCTCTTGAGCAGCCGCATGGGCTACTCATTTCCTCATGCTGTACAAGCTGACTTTGAGAATGCATCCTTCCCTACTCTCACCTGCTCCTCCAAACTCCAGAGGGGCCATAAATAGGTGGAAATAAGTGGTTTTGATGCCTTTCACTTCCTCCAAGACCTCATGTCCTCTGAAAAGCCTGAAAGCTTTTCCTTGAGTTCCTGGGCACCCTTGGGAATGTGTTTGGGAGAATCAGCTAGGATAGGTTTTTCCCCTCCTGAGAGTTTACTTCCTTTGGTCTCTACAAGCCTCGAGAGACTTCTGAACCTCCTCAAGGACATAAATTATTTCTGAGGCCTCCAAGGTGAGGCTCTGTGAGAGTGTGCTACACACGAGAGTGAGACTAACACAGCTCTGGCTGTGCCCTACAAGTCTGCAGCATCTTAGTCCCCCTCATGGTGAGGCGATGCCCAGGAGCGTACGCACGGCAAACAGCCCCCAAACATCACTCTAGCAAGACCTGAAGTGACTCAGGGAAAATGGGAAGACAGGATCGACTTACCGAAACTCATTCACCCAGACCTTATTCTTTAAGCTGCAGAAAGAAAAAGACAAATAAAAAATCAGGTCTAGAAAGCACAGATCGTGTTGATGATGCAATGGTAGTCCTCTACTTGAGGACAGAGCACAGAGACAGAGGCAATCCTATGACCAAGCCTATGGCCAGCACTGTTGGGTCGTACCAGTACAAGGAAGGCCACTCTCAGCATGTCCTGTCTGCTGTCTGGAAACCTTACTCATTTGAGAATCACACAGTAAATTAAGCCAATTTAAAATTCACCTTACAGGCAGGCATGGTGACACATGCCTTTAATCCTAACACTCACGAGGCTGATGCAGGTGAATCTATTGAGTCTGAGGCCAGCCTGATCTATATATAGAGAGAATGCCAAACCAGCCAGAACTTTGTAGTGAGACCCTGACTAAATAAAATAAATAAATAGATCAATAAATAGATAAAAGAATGAATAAGTCAATGATGGATAGATAGATAGACAGATAAATAGATACCTTACGGACCTAGATTTGCTGAATTTAAACATTTCAATTCTGAATCCCACGTGGAGAGGTCACAACTCTGGGAAATGCATAGCTTGTGCTCATTCCAGCACACCCTTGTCATTTAAAGTCACTTCAGACAGGGACAAGACCCCCGACCATACTGATGGGAAGGAAACATATTTTCTGAGCACTGACTAATCACTGGTCACGATGTGATCATGTGCCAGGAATCTACGAGTCTCTGTAGAGGCTCCACAGTCAACAAGGGCCACGACGTCTACCCTGACCTTTCTTCAGCACACTTCGGTTTAAATGGCGTCACCCACAACAGAGGGCCTAAGGCTCTCTGCTTATGCCATTTCCCTTCGCCCCCACAACAAATCTAAGACTGTAACACTAATACAAAATGTAAACAACATTTCACATAAGCTAAGACTTTACAAGAATAATGGGCTGCCCTGGTCAAGCAGCCACTGAGGGATCAGAATTGGAAACTGAATCCACATTTATGACTTATTTTTATTCTAGAGCTGGCAGCCTCATCCTCTAAGCTGAACTTTGAGGTTTACACACCCTCCTGAAGCTTATCTTGCCTAGTTGATACAATGTGCTAAATTTCCCACAGAACCATGATTTTCCATTTCCCTACAGCTCAAATCTACATATGTCACAAGCCAGATTTCAACTGCAGATAGATACCTTTTCGCTATGATCTGCACATACGTCTTCACCAGGTAATCTGAAATGTTCCTTCCGGTCAGATTCTGAAGGATGTCAGCAGTGTTCTGTTTTCTCTGTCATCACATAGAAACCAAGCTCACACATTTTTATAGGTAAGAATCGGGCAGAAAACAGACAAAGACAATAGGGACCCCAGGGCCCAGGCTAGACCCTTAGCCACCCACCACCAAGGCCTGGTCCACCCTGCCATCAGCACTTTCTCCTCATTTATGCCAACCTACAAACATCCCTGGGGAAGTGTTCTGGATATCTAGATGGGATTTTCCACACCACAGAATATTCAGGGAATAGCATTATAAAACTGCCCAGTTACGTTGGTAACTGGATCTTAATCCAGTTGGATCCTGATTTTAAGATGGCAATCAAGACTTAAGTTTGCACACCCACTAAAATCCCGTTCCTACCCTCCATCCAACCTAGATTCTGACAGAACAGCAGAGAGATATCACTATTGTCCTGAAACTTCCAGAAAAAAAAAATAAAGAAAGAAAGAAGAAAGAAAAGAAAAAACAAAACCAAAAACCTCAGATCTCCCTCCAAATCTCAGAGCCCACAGAATGTCAGAGTTGATGAGGTAGATCTAAGCTTTGTGGTCCATTTATTCTGAAGTGAAAACACAGGCCCCAGGAGTTCACACAGCCACCAGGTCAGCTGTGTGTGGCAGAACCAGGGTTGGAAGCTGGGACTGTGAGAGTTGTGTGAGAGCCACAATGTCGTCCACACTCCTCTCTCTAAACACACTTTTCTCAAGTAAGATCCAGGCGGAAATGATCCTGGTATCACACCTCATTCTTCCTGCTGCCAAACAGATGCTACCAGCCCCACCCTGAGCCTAATTCTCAGGCACACTACCGGGACCCACCTGAGGAGGCGGCAGGCCCCCTGCTCCTGGGGGACACACAGGTAGCATCTTCTTGACCTTGTCACTGCTACACTGACAGGCAGGCGAGGGCTTCTTCATTGTCCAGTTCCCGTTTTGGAAGAGGTCCATGATGGTCTGGGGAACTGGGGCAGTGGTCCAGTCCTCCTCCCCGACCAAGCAAGGGGTGTCTCTGTAAAAAGGATAAACCAAGAGTTGTAGGTTTCCCTGAAAAGGGCCTGACTTTCCCTGATGCTTTTAGAGCCCAAGATTGTTCTTTAGTAAGGACCCATGTGCCTAGCCCTACCATTTGAAAAAGAGCATGGCATCATTCTGTTTGTTCTCATAGTAGCATGGGAAGCTGAAGAGTCACAGGAAAACAGAAGATAAACAGGCTCCGGATGCTCAGGCTGAGCTCTGCTCAATCCAGTTAACTAACACTTGTTGCCACAACTCACATGAAGAGTCCACTATGTGCCACGCAGTGTTCTGTACCTCTAAGAGTCTGCTGTGAGCAATACAAACTATTGCCTTCATGGACTCCGCATGCCCAGAAAGTGCTGGACGACAAATCAACAAACCTAATTTTACGCAGCTCCAAATTAAGCAAAAATAACAGGAGAGTACATGATAACAGACCTTTAAATCTAAAAACAGTACTTCAGCCCAAACATAAACAATAAGCTATCTAAAGAACCGGAATGATGGGATGGAGAGATGGCTCAGTAGATAAAGGTGTCTACAGACAAACCCAGGTTCAATCTCTAGGTCTCATGTGGTGAAAATCAGAACCAACTCCCACAAGTTAGACTCCAACTGCTACACATGCGCCATGTCATGCATGCACGCATACATGCTAATACAAATAAATGTAACTTTAAGACAATTAAGAAGAACGAACAGTCCAGGCAGAAGCAGTGGGGAGTCGGGTACAAAAGGTCCTGTGAGCACGTGAGCGTATATATTTGATGAGCAGCAAGAAGATGGTGTAATGAGCTATGAGACAGGCCGACAAACAAAAAGGAGGGAAGGAAGGAGGGGGAGCCATAGGACACAGTCATAGGTGTGAGATTATATACTTCATGCTCAGCTGAAAATCTTGTAGAGAATGGCAAGATCCAATTTATGTTCTATAGTGAGTGGAGAGGGAATGCTCAACGTAGGAGAAGTAAGGGCATCTCCAAGCATCCCCAGAGACTCCCCAAGGCCCCAGTCTCTGCCTAGAGCACTGAACTGTTGGGTGCACACCACAAGTCCTTCACAACCTCAGGGCCCATTTTTCCCTACTGGTGAAAGAAGAGTATAAAATGACCTATTATTTCTAGTCTCTCTTCCATAGTTCCAATTTTCAAGATTCTATAATTTAGCCTAGAGCCACAATCTTTATCTCACGTGTACGTGCATACGCAGATCCACGTGTGCTTATAAATATGCACATAAGTGACTTTTCCAAATGATTTCTCGTTTCCTCTTGAAAGCCTCTTCCCTGGGACATCTGTCCTTGTGAAACTCACCCTAAGACAGCCAAACAACAATAAGCTGAGACAAACTAAAGACCACTGAAAAGGCATCCTACTCAGAATTCCCTCAGTCCTAAGAATCACCTAGAAACCTAAAATTCTAATTTCAACCTGAACTGGCAGGGTGAAGCACTTTCTTTCAGACTGCTTCCAACAGAGTGTCTGTGGTGCTCAGACAGCACACACACCCTCTGATGTTATGGACATTTCTTTTATCTCTGCAGGCCAGTTGTCAGCTCAGTTCTCTCTCCCATAGATCTGGCCTTTGCTGGAATCAATCCCCAGATCCATACAGTTCAGCTTACCTCATTATCACCTTATCTCATGATTCTTTCGTACTAATCCTTAACACAGAATCCCTAAAGTGTGGCGAAGTCAAGAAAAAAAAAAGGTATGTGTCTTTCTCCACCTTAGTATTTTTTTTTTAGCTGAAACCAATATTGACTGCTGGGTTTACCACCTAGTAAGTACTAATTACCCAGTATTAAGAACATCTGGTAACTATCTGCTATAGTTAAACAGTTTTCAATGTCTTCCAAAGGCTTGGTCCCCAGATTGTGGTGCTAAAGGGAGCTGGCAGAGCCTGCAAGTCACCCTCAAAGGAAATATTGTGACCCCTAGCCTTCCTTCTCTTTTGTTCCTTGGCTTGGCTTCTATGGTGTGAGCAGCTACGTTCCACACACATTCCTCATCACGATGTTTTACTCTGCTAGGGACCCCAACAGACCCATGAACAATATAGCCATGGACCAAAACTCCTGAAACCACTATGAATCTTGACTTCTTTTAAGTTGGTTTTCCTCAGTGACAGAACACGTCTAACACATGATCTGATACTGTGGTCTGAATGAGAATGGTCCCACATGCTGATGTTTGGATAGTTGATCCCCACTTGGTAGAACTGACTGGGAAGAACTAAAGGTGTGATCTTGCGGGAGGAGGTATGGGGGAAGGCTCTGAGATCTCAGAAGACTCTGCTTCCTGTTCGTGGATCAGGATGTGAACTCTCAGCACGACCCTGCCTGCCTGCTGCCATGCTTCTCACAGTGATGGTCATGGACTCACATCCCTCTGGAACTGTGAACCCCCCACAAGCCCTTCCTTCTATGAGTTGTCTTGATTGTGGTGTTTTATCACATCACAGCAACAGAAAGTGGTTAAGACAAACACTAACAGAGAACTGACAAATATACAGAAACTATTCATCTAGAAATCTGCTTGATGATATATATATATATATATATATATATATATATATATATATATATATATCACATACACACAGCCATAGTCCAGTGCTCAGACACAAGACTGGCTATCTTCCCCTTTGCAGTGTGCGATTCAAATTTTCCTTTCTCTACTTCTCTATTACCTTGCCAACTCTCCACGGTTCCTTAGCTATCACTCATTGTGTGTGGCTCTAACCTTAGCTGTAAATTCTGTTTGGACCTGCAAACTTGAAGCTGTCTCTATGACCCCCAGTTCTCTTCTACTCACTTCTCCACTGGCTTCATTTCCTCATGATGTGCTTCTTCTGTGCACACATAGTCAACTGGGCACATCACTGAATCTACTGACCTACTATTTAAAACCAGTCCTGAACGTGTGATAAAAAGTATCTGTTGTTAGGGAAAAAAATCAGTGTGCCATCTTTTCTGCTTAAAGCGAAGAAACCAATAAGCAAAGTTGCAAACTGCACACTCTGCCAGGCTAGTATGGCACTCAAATATGGGAACTGGGATCAGGGAGAGAAGGGAAAAGCATTCAATCAGTAGGTATAAACTATGATTTGAAATCAAGATTATCATCACAGAATAGAAAGCAAATGTCAGTAATGATTTGCTATGCAGAATGTGAGCAGATTCTATTAGTTCCTAAATTGTTTGATTTGATAACTCCCTGGCCTTTTAAAATAAAAACTGATGAAAAGGCAAAATGACAGTGGTCACAATGGAACAGGCACTACTAGCAGAAAGAAAACAAGGTGGCCATCATAAGAAGCCAGCTCGTGGTTGAAGTGTCACTCACGGGATTGGGTTTCCTTCCATACAGCGGGTCCCGAAGCCTGGATCTTTGGTTAGAGCATTCAGGAGTTCCTGGGTGCCCGTGTCCTCCGGGGCATCATTACTGCAGATACACAAGAGACATCCAGATCAGTGGTTCACCCAAGCCATGATTTGGAGGTAGGACAAGTTTTCTATAGAAAAAAACACTACCAAATACTTCTGAGGAATGAATGGGCTTTTAAAACTAAAAACAAATAAAACTCAAAAGCCATCTGCAAGAAGCTTCACACATCTGGCATCAGGGTAACATACAGTACCCCAATGAAACATGTAAAGAGTTTACATGTGAAGGTATGTGTGTGTGTGTGTGTGTGTGTGTGTGTGTGTGTGTGTGTGTGTGTATACATATACATATGCACTTCATTTGAAATAAGGAAAATCATTAATGCTCACTTTATTGGAACTCCTTTGACAACTATCCATTTGACACAGACAGCAAGGATTTTCCAAGAACAGACAGGCAAATTTTATTGATTATCTGTATGAAAAATTACCAAGTCCAAGAAATAATGGGCCTACGTCACAAACCCATGCCACTATCTATAGCTATGGGCAATACTAGGTCATCAGCTAGAAAGGGATCAAACTTTTAACTTTATAAGATGAAAGTGAGCTAGAGGAAAAGAGACTAATAAACTATACATGCTACAAACATATCACACACACACGGGGCGGGGAAGAGACTTTCTCCCATCTGTAGACATACCAGTGCAGAACTGAAGAAAACCCATACTTAACAAGGTCTACAAAGTTCCCTATCTTTTTGTTTTTTTTAATAGAATCAGCATGGAGTAGGAAGCACTCTTGTCTACAGATGCACACGTACAAATACTATCTTCAACTTGAAAGATTTCGTGATTACTGCATTTGGTCATTCCTGACAACAGGAGATACATAACGATACAAGACGAAATGCCCAGCAGAGCTTCTCCTGTTTTTTTCAAGTATCATTTACTGCTGTTCTTTGATGCAGCAGCGGCTTGTGTAGGAGCCTGAACCATCATGAGAAATTCCATCTCACCGAAGAACTGTGGATTCTGACACCTCAGCAATCAGTACAGTAAACACTGTTGTTCTGTTTGAACCGCCTCTGCCCTGAGGCACAGAAAACAAACACATACCTGACAAATGTATACTGCTCATTATACATCCAGGGTTGAAGTTCCAGGCTGGGGTACTTGCCAAAGGGTGGCACAATCAGGCTGAACACCAAGGCAATGCAAACAAAGACAGCTGGCAGCACAATCTGTAAACAGGCATTGGAGGGAGAAGAGACAATATGAAAATTGTTAGCAGTCTAAGGAGCAGGCCCCTGGATGTCCAGCCAGCCTCCCAGACTAGCAACACAGGAATGGGGAATACAGACGAGGCCCATGGCTGAGTTCCACCAATGTATTTTTAGCATCTGGGAGGCAAAGGAGCCTGTAAACTAAGCCTTCTCTTCCCCAGACACTTCCTGAAGCTGATAGCACAAAGTCAGAGGCCACTTCGGTCACCTAATGGAGGCTCAAGCTGGGAATGTCACTGAGTAAAGAGTTGGCGTGACAATCTTAGGCCCTACCCCTTTTCCCTCTAAAGACAGAAAATTCAGCATGGGTCACTGACTCAGGAAGAAAGCTGAGAGAAACATCCCTGGACCAGAAGCCAGAGCCCTGAATCCTGGTTCTGACTCTATGGCACGGGGTTCTGTGTGACATCTATACATCTGAGGACCGAGGACTTGAAACCAACTTTCTGGTGGGGAAGCGATGCCCTTCCCCACCAGAAGCAGCAACAGCCAACGACACGATGAAAAGAAAAATTACCTAAATTCTTCCTTGAAATTCCCCAAACTTTATATACATGCCTTCACTGAAAATATACCAAAAGATCTTTCACTCGTTTCTAAGAAATTTACCCTTTAAAGCTTCAACAATTCAGTGCTAACCTGTCTGCGGGCGGAACAGAGAGCTTTCTTACTATGCACACATCCCTGCATTCCATCCCCAGTGCCCTAAGAATTCAAACGGTAACCCTGGGCTCAGTATTCCTGTGTTCTGATACAGAAAATTATCACTGAATGAATAATTTCACTGGGAAGTCCTTAGTGAGAATTAGCTAATTTAATACCCCATTTGGTGGTTATTTATGGTGTTAGTGTCATTATCACTATCCAGAAACTAGAGCATTACAGATCAGAGAAACGTCAGCCAGTGATTAACTGAACTAGATTCCAAATCCAGGCCTACATGCCTCAAACTCCTGCCCTGAATTACTGCTGCCCAGGTTGTCTACAGGGAGGACTCTACGGACATGCTCTCAATAATTCTTCATTTTGTAGAGCGAAATAACTGTATTCAAGTGCATCACTTGGCATGGCAACTCTCACATTAAGGGAGTTGAATTTGCCCAACCAGTGTCTCTTTTATAATTTCCTCTAAATTTTATCCGCCTCCCCAACTAATGTCAAACTCCATTCTAAATAAATTCATTTTATCCTCCTAACAACTACATATTATGGCTCATCTTCAAATGAAGAAATTGAAGCTCAGGGAAATCACTGATTTGTCACCATTAAACAAATGGCAAGAAGCAAAAGTAGTATAGACATTCAGTTGCTCTGATCCCAGTCTCTACATCTTGAATGGCAGCCTGTCCCATCTTCACCAGTCCAATGAAGGCAGACAGTAGCACATCTCACCTGAGCAAAGAACCCTTTCCTGCTTCGCCTGGCAATCAGCAGCCTTTTCCACAAAAGGGCCACGAACTGTTGCTGGGTGAGCTTCCAGCCTTTCAGCTGGTAGGACCCCTTGCCATCCACGCCACTGAGCAGGTCTGTCTCCCTGGATTCTGTAAGAAGCAAACAGGGAGGGTCAGCTACCACCCCACCTGTCTCTGATTGACTCTTTTCTTTCCTCAGCTATCTCTGGCAGGAATCTTGGAAACTATTGAAAAAGCCACACTTAAGAAAAGGCTCTGACTCAGTTATATTCCTCAATGTGTATGCATTTCAGTCCTCATCTGATGAGCACAGAAAAGGAAGATGCCTTGAGACAAGCAAAGATGTGCTCACAAGTAAGAGTAGTAGCCAGCTGTGCAGCAGAATAAGTCGTCATTCAGTCATTACACTCTATGAATCATACATCACAGAATTACAATCTATGGGTCACGGAGGCTGGCACACACTATTGTTAGTCTCCTATCTTTTATATGCTTGGTAAAAAGTGGACAAATTTAAAACACCTGACAATGAAACATGAGGTAAGAACAAAAAGCTAGACTCAAATAATACCAGGAGAACCAGATAATTTTCTGTCCCCCAAAATTGTTTAGAAATCCTTGTCTAATGACTCTTAACTGAGGCTCTCAGATAGCCTACAATTTGTTTAATTTCATACCACCCTTCTCCATCTCAGACACATATGGACACAGTCATCAAAAATACATTATGTTTAGCCAGGTGCAGTGGCGCACACCCTTAATCCCAGCACTCTGGGAGGCAGAGGCAGGAGGATCTCTATGAGTTCAAGGCCAGCCTGGTCTATGGAGAGAGTCCAGGACAGCCAAGGCTACACAGAGAAACTCTGTCTTGAAAAAAAAATAAATAAAACAAACAAAAAAAACCCACAAATTTCCCTTTTATTCCTTCAAATTCAACCACCCAGTCAATACTTTTCATTCAATGTTTAAATGTGCAACTAAATGTGCAAAAAACTGGGGCCCTTCAGAAATGAGAATAAATAAATGAATTCAGAGCACAGAGTGGGGGGTCGTATACCCATAAGAAAACTTTGTACTAAGTGATGTGACAAGGGCGGCCTTCTTCAGGTCTGACCAGACATGCCACATTGGAAAAGGGCTTTCTCAGTTTTTTTTTTTTTTTTCTCTTTTCTTTGTAACCTGTTAGGATCTGTGATCTTAGCCAAAGGCCGTCAAAGAGATAGCAAAAAACACATAAAAGACAAACTCAAGTTCAAACAACAGAACAAAGATCCTGCCCATTCTAACCTGGATCTATGTCAGAGTCATTCGGATCAATAGCATCGTCTTCAGTGAATGGACGCAGACAGCTCTGCTTGTCCCCAAAGGCCCGTCTGTTTCGTCTTGCTGGCAAAGTACCATCTGAAGGGAAAAGGAAGGAATCCCACAGTTTATTTACTCATAACACAACAAACCTTCCCACAGCAAACCCATACACTAAAAATGAGACTGCATCACACCAACGCAGAGAGAACGGTGCAACAGTGGTTAGCTTCAAAAGCCTGAAGAAAGCCTACCCGAAACCGTGTGCAGCCCACTCAGCCGCGTTACCTGAGGTCTCAGCGTCCACCCCACTCTCTTCGGCCACCTTGAGGAATATCTGAAAAGTCAAAAAAGATGTCACTCCCCAGATTAGGTTATGGAATCCCACGTCAGGCTCTCGAGACAAAGAAGGTGGAGGCCACATTTATCAGCAACAGTTTTATCAGAACCACTGAAGAGAGAGGCTGTTTTCTGGCAGAAAACATTTCCTCAGGTGTGACAGCCATCAGTGCAGACAACTCTTTACAAAACAAAACAATACATTATGACAGGAGAAGAAATTCAACCTGAACCTACAGAGGAAGAGGCAAGTCACTATCATCAGGTCTGTGGTCCCGGACCCTGGAGCGGGACAACATCAGGGTGACTTATCCGGGACAAAATGGCCAAAAGGAAATGAGTTTCTTATCACTAGAAATAAAAATTAAAGGAGGGGGAAATCTGAACGAGGCCACTGATTTCCAGACCTGCCTACAGACCACTCTGTAGGAGGCATGCAACAGAAGCACGAAGTCATGCCCCCAGAAACCCTGACTCAAAGGCACAGGAGGAGGGCCTCAGAACTTCTACTGTCACCACAGATGGCTCTACCGCCCCCTCCTCCCTGGGAACCAGGCAAGCCAGACAGTGTTTACACCCCGTTCCAGGCCCCAAGGCTTGGGATGCTTCATCTCTGAAGAGAGGCCTTGCTACGTGGTAGATAACCTGGGATTTGAAGCCCCAAGCCCCCAATTCATAATCCTGGACTACTTCCTTCACTATTAAATCTCATCCTGCTATGAGCATCAAATGAGCTTTCAATGTTTAAAAACAAAACACCCCCAATGGAGCAACACTGATATACTGACCACATTCCAGGCCACGCCCCATACCCACTAGTGGATCCTGTGGGCTTATTTTTTTCTTGAGAGAGAGAATAAAAAGTTGGGTAGGTATACAGATGGGGATGAAGGAATTGGAAAAGGGGCATTAATATGGCCAAAATATACTATCAAAGAGTTAAGTAAAAACGTTATTTAAAAAAAAAATACAAAAAGATAAAAATAGGCCATGAATTTAAAAGAGAGCAGGAAAAAGCATGGGGGAGGACTTAGAGGGAGGGAAAGGATGGGAGAAAGGCTGTTAAGTAAATTACATGCTCAAAATTTTTAAAAATACCGAAGTTATTGAGTCCAGCACCTGGTTCTAGTAGGCTGTCCATAAGTATTAGTCATTTGCCATGTATGAGTGCTGACACCTAGCCACAACACTGTTCACACCAGGAGCCATCCTAATACTTCTGTGTATTGCTATCACTATGTTCCTAAATAAATTCCTGGGGCTAACATCACCCAGATGTCAATGACTTAATCTCTCAGTAACCAACTCCATAGCAGTCTTGTTCCCAGTGTAGGCTGCTGCTCTGGCCTTGATGCAGTTAAGCTTACTTCTTCGAGGGTGGTCTCTGAAATGCCGTAACTGGAGATGCCCAGGTCTGAGAGCCGGTCATCGATCTCATGGAAGAGTTCCACGAAGGCCCCCTCCTTAGCAGCTTCATACGGCAGCACGTAGGTCAGCTCGTGCCCGATGTCCTCCACCAGCCTCGCCTCAGACACATGTTTCCTGATGAGGTTGGAGATAGCGGAGACATCTGCAGGGACCAGAGTGTGAAGGTGCTCAGTCATCTCAGCCTCCGCAGCACGAGCCAGCAGTCCCTGCCTCCTCCATCTGCCTACAGCTCCAAAGCACAACTTACACACCACATGTCCTAAGACACCAAATGGCTCATTTGTCTCCGGTGTGAGAACTCCAGGACAGCAGAGACTGTCTCTAATTTATCCTCACGTCACCAGACCCAGGCACACTTGTAGGTACAAGGTGTCGTCGGATGCATGCGTGACTCGCTCAGACTGAAGCCATGTGTCTAATGTGTATGCGCCAGGACTTTTTCAAAGAAAAATGAGTTTAGATACCATGAAAAACCCTGCCCTTTTGAAAAGTCTTAGATAAGGCTATCCTTTATTTTCTTCAGAAGAAGGTTAATCAAACATCTATGGGAGCTGACACCTTCCTGGGAAAAAGACAGCTGTTGAACAGCCAGCTCGGTATTTTTATTCCATATGCCACTGGTAATACTGGTCTCTCAAAGGCACTGTTAGAGGAAAATCAAAATGCTATTCCTTATCACACTCTGCTCTCACCTCTCTTAGATGCTGAGTTCAACTTCCTTCCTGCTGGATCAGCCCTCCACAACTCATCCAGCATATGACTGAATCCACTCCCCTCAAGGCATTCCCCAGACTCCCAGTCATATCTGCTCTCTGGAATACTGCCCTTCCCACCCCAAGACCAAGCCCCAGTGCTCCCCAGCCAGCAAGCGTTAGGCCAAGCCACCGCCAAGCTGCATTCACTCCCACAGCCACCCTGCCCAGCCCAGCCCCGCAGCAAACCTTGAGTCAGCGCCACCAGCCTCTGCACCTCTCCTCCTCTGCCTCCACTCTGCCCAGCTTCGGGGAGCTCAGGCACCACCTGAATAAGAAACCCCAGAGTCCTTACCGATAGTCAGCGTGTCACTTTCATGGTCGCTGCCCAGGCCAGCATCAGAACTGCTCTGAGAAACACTGTCCTCCTGATGGCAAAGAAGGAGGTGAGAATGGGTCAGGGGTCGAGCTGGATATAGACACCACCGCCTTTGAAGGACAGAGCATCCAGGAAGTCTTACTGTATAAAACCAGAGCGGAAAGCTTGTCCTGGGACGGGTGCAGCTGGCAGCCACAGCTTCAGAGGCCACTGCTCTGGGGTATGTGTTCTATGTGGACAGCCTCACTGACAAGGGTGAGAGGGGTCAACAAACTGAGTGACTGTCAACAGAACTGTGCCCTCAGACCAATGCTGGCACTAGACATTCACCAACAGTCCCAGCATTGGCTCTGTCTGTCTGCTTACCTATTTAGTGCTTCTAAAATATTAATATGCATTCAGTCAGTCAGGCAAACATGGATTGACCTTATTGACAGGCAGACATGGATTCAGTGGGCCTGCACTGGTCCCAAGTCACCGAGTTTCTAACAAATTCCCAGTTGAGCCTGGTGTTGCTAAGTCCTCAGACCAGTCTTAAATAAGGAGGCTCCAGTTAAAAGAAAAATAAGTAGCTAGGAGTACAAAGCTTTCGGGGCAGGTAGGTGGTATGGTTTGAGCACACAAATAAATCTCAGACTTGGGTGATAGGTAGCCCATTTTTTCTTTTAAACCCACAGGTTATATATAAATATATATATATATATATATATATATATATATATATATACCATATATATATAATATGGTAAAAAATATAATATATATATATATGGTAAAAAAAATCAGTGTACAGTAAATACTTAATGCTTCATAGTTTCACAGTACAGGTCAATGAGATTTAAGGCAATAAGCAGGAATGGCAGGGCATTTTGTAGCCAAGGCTCTTCTTACCACTTGGCAAGTCTCTTTTCTTTTATGGAATAAAGCCCTCAAAGGACTTTTCTCCATCATTCAGGGTACTTCCAGAGGGAATATAATGTGGGCTGCAACAGAACTACCATGGTGGGAACAGGTCTCGTGGACCTTCCACACAGGAGCTATGATGGACTGCAACAGGACCACAAAGCGAGGGGAATGTTGCCACATCTTAGCAGCATGGGGCAGGGGTGTACAAGCCACCTAAGCCAATGAGCCCTGGCTGTCTAGTCCCCGCACCAGCCCAGCCCCAAGATGGCCGCTCACCTTCTTCAGACACGACACAGTGCTGCTGCTGTTTCTGCAGGAACTCAGGGACAATTCCACATCTTTCTTGACCAACGTCAGGTAGTAACCTGTTCCCAGCTGGTTTTTCAGAAACAGGGAGGAGCCCACACAACACAGCTTCCCATGGGAAATGATGGCAATTCTGTCCCCGAGGATGTCTGCTTCATCCATGTGGTGTGTAGAGAGAATAATGGTGCGGCCTGCCAGGCACAAACACAAGGAGAGGGGACAGTGGGACCTGCTGGTTCTCACTGATCATAGTGGCACAGGCGACAGAGATGTCACACATGAGAAAGACCTCTGTAGACGTAACCCCAGGATGACAAAGCTTGGGGGACAGCTGTTGCACTGTCACACAAAGGTGGGCGGAATTTTTTTTAAGATTTACTTATTTAGTATTTATACAGTATTCTGCCTGCATATATACCTGCAGACCAGAAGAGGGCACCAGATTCCATTACAGAAGGTTGTGAGCCACCATGTGGTTGCTGGGAATCAAACTTTTTGGAAGAACAGCCAGTGCTCTTAACCTCAGAGCCATCCCTCCGTCCCAGAGGGCAGTATTTATTTGGGAACCTGCTCCACAGAGTGTACTAAGAGGTTTACAGACATTCCCATTAGCTGGGGCCAAAATGAATAAGGACACAGCATCTGGGCTCATGAGCCTCGGTCTACAGCACATCGTAACTACAACACACGTGTACGCTTATGCCCTTTCTTCTGATAGGCACTTAAATGATGAAGCATATGCTTTAAGAATCTTGCAAAGCAGGCCTCCTTTCTCCCTCCCACAGGGTAGGTATTGAACTTTAAATAAGGAGGCTCCATGCTTCTCTTGGGAAGCAACTCTGTCACCTTAACAAAAACAGCCACAGTTCTCAGGAGCCCTTCTCTACCCCAGGTCGCGACCTGAAATACGTCACAGCATGTACCTTGTCGGTATTTCAGCAGGAGCTCCCATATTCCTCTGCGCGAGTAAGGGTCCACACCTGCTGTGGGCTCATCCAGAATGACAACCTTGGATCCACCCACGAAGGCCAAGGCCACAGACAGCTTCCTCTGCATGCCACCTACAAGACAGAACAAGACACATCCTCAAATGGTAAATGGAGGTAGAGGCAGTGAGAGATGACGGAGGTGTCCGCCTGTAGACATGGAGAGGAATAGGCTTCTGCTACCAACCACCTAGTCTTAGACTCTGGGGTGTTTGTCTGGAGGAGGAAGAATAAGAAGACGGGGAAGGAAGGTGCCCAGGGCTCACCTGACAGCTGACTTGTTTTGCTTTTCAGCTTGCTGGGGGGTAAGCCAACATCCAGCGCCATCTGCTCCACCTCTGCTTTCACATGCTTCTCCGAAAGCCCCTTTAGGCGGGCATAGAACCAAATGTGCTCTTCAACGGTCAGCCTAGGGGAAAGAGGGGCAGGTCAGCTCTGGGCTCAGTAGGACGCATGTAGCTTGGCACATCTGTCTTCTCTTCCACACCATTCTTGCCGTTAAAATATAATCAATTTCTTAAAAAAAAAAAAATGGGTAGCCAGAAGGAAGAATTCAGGTTACACAAATAGCGAGTCATACAATGGATCGCTTATATCCCATTCCCAGCAGGCCTAGTTGATGTGGGAGGGCCCAGCCCACTGTGGGGGTTGCCATTTGTAACAGGTAGTTCTGGGCTGTGAAGAAAGTAAGTTAAGCTAGCCATGGAGAGAAAGGCTGTAAGCACCATTCCTCCATGGTCTCTGCTTCAGCTACTGCCTTCATGTTCCTGCCTGGACTTTCCTCAGTGGGGTGGACTTGTGAGCTGGGAGCCGTAAAACAAAATAAACCCTTTTCTCCCCCAGTGGTTGGTCATCTTTTTATCACCACGACAGAATGCAAACTAGAGCAAGCAGGAATGCATAGGAAAGGCGGCTGAGCTAAAATACTCTCCAGCACAGTAATGGAGAGCATGGCTTTCAAAATCCCATCAGCAAGCTGGACTGATGCTACAACTACATCTCCTTTCCCCCTGAAGTCAAAAGGCAAGTTGGTTACCGTGTGCCAAGAGAGATAAGATGTCCACTCCACACCCAAACAAGGAAAAGTCTTTAGTACTACGCAGAACACCAGGACTCCCAGGTCACAAACGGGGTGGGGGTGGGAGGTGGATATTCTTTTCTGTGTGCTTCTGCTACTCACATGTCAAACAACACATTATGCTGGGGACAGACTCCCAGGTTCTGCCGGATGGAGCTCATCTCAGAGCGAATGTCCTTCCCCAGGATGTAGGCAGTGCCAGAGGTCGGGGGGAACAATCCGGTGAGTATTGACCTGAGGACAAGAGGAGTAGATTCAAGAATCAGGCACACCCAGCCTCACCACTAAGTGCTGCAGAGCCACGGCAGGGAAAGCAGATCACCCCACTTGACGCTCTCTCCCTGCCTTTCTAACAGCATCTAATAGAGGCCCACAGAGGAGGAGGCCATTTGCTTCAGTGAATACCTTAAGCATAAGCCTATATCTTAGAAATAGAGGTTTTAGTGAGAGCATCTGAAAAACGGCACTCCTAATTTGCAACAGGGTGCTCTTTAAAACATATTTTGTATGCCTAACATTTTGTACACAAAAATGAACAAGAACGTATTATTAAAAGATAGAAATGCTTGCATTGCATGGTAGAATTTTGGAGTGTCTCACATCATGTTCATAACACACTGGTTTTATCTTAAAGAAGGAAAAACAACAACAAAGAAAGCCTGGCACCCCCAAAGATCAACCTCAAATGGCAGAGGGGCCACACTACAAACCATAAGCTAACTAAGATATCCTATGATCCTGCCTCCATCCTCACAGGTCCCAGGGAAGGCAGAGGGAGAGGGCTACCCAGGCCTTCTCTCATCTGCCTAGCGACAGTGTCCTTCTTCCTCCTTCTTCCTCTAGCTTGTTTGATCTTTCTTCCCAGTTTCTTACTTCGAAGCTCTGAACCAGCCAGCTCAGATCAGACGACCTCAGATTGCAAGAAAGCTGAGGAATTCTGAGTGCTGTATGGGAAAGGTCATCCAAAGGTTCCTCTTTTAAGCTAAAGGAAACACACTTAGCAAATCTAGGCCTCAGAAAGCACCCTCGTGGTTATGGTGGCGCATTTCCTCCCATCGTGGTCCGCTCTAACCAGTGACCAATTCAATCTCATTAGGTCTGTACTTCTAAGCGGGGATTTCCTAGGAGAGCCACGCCCTCTTCTTACATGGTGGTAGTCTTCCCTGCGCCATTGTGCCCCAGGAAGGAGGTGATCTGGCCCTCGTAAAAATTCAGTGTCAAGCCATCCACAGCCACCTTCATGCCATCTCGGTAAACCTTCACCAGGTTCTGAATGGACACACCCAGTCTCAGGTGAGTGGGTTCCTCTTCCATGCAGACTGTGACAAAAGAAGGAAGACAGAGATGAACTCACAGGAAATACTGACCTGACCAGTAGATGCACAAACACAACAGTCTGTGTTTAGACCTTTAGAACTAGTTTCTGTCCATCTTCAACCTTTAATGTTGCTGTCAAACAAATGACAAAATATTTTAAGCCCTTTGGGATACTTGTGCTGATGGTAAGAATGAACTTATAAAGGATCATTAGTCTTTTGATAAAAAAAGGCTGCACAAGCAATTAAAATACAAGATGCCAGTGGTATTAAAAAATGTATCTAAAATGTCATGGATGCCCATACACAAAGTACTACTTAAGAAGAAGAAGAAGCAATGAACTATTAAAATACATCATAATTTGAATGGTTCTCAAAAGACTCATACTGAGTGAGGAAAAGACACTATCAAAAAATATCTACTATCCAGTTCCATTTCCATAATGTTCTGAAAATAACAAAATTGTAAGACTCAAGAACAGACTGGTAGTTGAGTACAGGGGAGCCCCCTCATGTACTTCCCTGACAACTCCCTGCAAGGCGGTTATTCTAAAACAAACAGGTCCTTTGCATTACTGGAGGGTTGTTTCAGGAAAAGGAGCAACTGACTGTTGAGAATCAACACAGACAGCTCAGGAAAGGGGCTGAGGAGCCAGAGACTTAAGAGCACAAAAGGGGGAGTTTGTAAGTCAGGTAAGCGGGAGAAAAGGCTCCACTGTGGGAGGAGGCACTGAAGACAATGGTCTGGAGCTTCAGAAGAACATACCACGCCCCAGCACACACAGCAAGGGCACTGAGAACAGGAACAGAGGGGAAGTAGCAGGACACTGCACGTGGGCACCACACTAAGGAGCTCCTTGGCCCCTGGAGACCCGAGGAAGGGCACAGAAGAGAGGCCTTCTGACAGCACAGGAAGGAAAAGGGTACTGACAACTACGGAAGAAGCAGGCCACTGACAGTGTAGAAGAAAGCCACACTGAGCTGAAACCTGGGAAGAGCTACGGCATCACCACCTGCAGGGAGGATCACCTAGGAGAGGATCGGCGCCTGGTTAAGGGGGGAGGGGTGCGAGCAAGGAGGAAGCACAGGCTGAGACTATAGCAGCTACCCACTGAATCCCTGGCATAGACCACCACAGCAAAGTAGGCAGAGACTAGCTCCACAACCATGGCTGACTGTAGTTTTTTTTCTCTCGGCTTCATGGGGTAGTACAATCGTCAGATAAGGAAGAGGTAAGGGTATAACCGATCAAAATATACCTTCCTTGAAGTGGGGAGACAAAGGAACTGCTCCTCAGGAGCCAGACAGGATTCCCACTAAGTCAGTGCGTGGGACAGCAACAGCATGGGTGCATTTAAAAAGGAGAACTTGTGTGGGATTTTCCCACCTCTGATGGGGTGGAAATTTGGAATTTTTTTTTTTTTTTCTAAAAAAAAGGCAGGGTCTCTCTGTGTAGCCTTATCTCTGTGTAGCACTCGCTTTGTAGACCAGGCTGGACTTGAACTCACAGAGATCCACCTGCCTCTGCCTTCCCAAGTGCTGGGATTTCAGGCATAAGCCACTGTGCACAGCTTCCTTTAGAGTATTTTCAAATGCAGGAGGCATGCTCTGTCCTGACAGGGAGAGCAACGCCAGGTGTCAGCAGTACTTACTTTCTGATACACCCTTCTGGCTAGAACTAGGGTGGCTCTTCTCATCGCTTTCCTCGCCAAACCAGTAGGACTTGGTACAAGGAAAATACCATGGCCTGGGAATTCCATACTGTCCTGAAAGGAAAACACAGGTATGAGCCAAGCTGATGCCAACCCAGCACTTCTGATGTCTTCTAGCCAGACCGCCTTTCTCCTTGGCACACTCTTTGGGGAAGGAACAGACCGGAACTGAGGCAGAAGGAGATGATTAACTTTTGCTGACACACTGTGCAAATCACATATTCTGCCCAGCACTTGGCACACTGGGCTCAAGAGATGAGCGGCACTGTGGAAGCAACAGGTGTGCATTCAGCACAGGTACCTTCACTTGTGCCCTTTGTTTTTTACAGGCTTTAGCTCAGGCCACTTCCCAGGGAGACCCCTCATCCTTCAGCAATGGCAACACAAAGAAAGGAATGATGTACAAACAGAAAGAGTCTTTCCCTATCAGTTAGCCAATGCAGTACGGACGCTCGGAGTACCTGGAAAGACGGATTCGATGTACCACGTCATCACCCCATAGAGGAAGGTGTCAAACAGCATCATGGACACTGCGGTGGTGAGACTGAAGCTATCTTCCTCCACCGGACTCTCAAAGAAATTGTCCCATTGTACCCCGATGCCTTGCTCCTCAAAAAGGGCAAAATATTCACAGCCAAATCCAAAAGCCACAGGAGACAGAAGACTCTGAAAGAAAAAAAGCAAAAGTAACTGTTCTATGCCCTTGCCTCTCTCATTGCTCTCTTCTAATGTAAATTCCACGTTGAGAAGTTTAAATTTGCAAATTACATCAATTATAAGGCAAGTACATATTCTCCTAGTGTCCCTTTGGAGAAGCGGACTCTCTTGCAGCATATAAAATCATTTCATGTATAAGCACTTATTAGGCAGACACTTTTCAGAAACACATGCATGAGAGCAGCTGAGACTTTTAGAACTGTATGTTTCCCAAGATATTACAAGGCTCAACAAGCCTGTCCCCTGTCCAGCCTCAAACTGACATTCATCAAGGATTTTTTCCTCTGATCTATTCAGGCTCAGAGAAGCCACTTTAAGGCTTAACATCTATCAGAAGCAGCCTAAAACACTTGCAGCATGCTGAGAGCTTACTAATTAATATCTTATCAGTTACCCAGGGGGTCAGGAAGTAAGTGGCTCTTACTGGTTTTCTCGCATGCTCAAAGACCACACCTACACTGCAAAAAGGGAAAAAAAATGTCCTGGTCAGGGATCTGTGGGAGGATAAGTCATGTTCAGTCTCGTTCAGTCCAGAAAATATTACCCAAGTCAAGCAACACAATAGATAGAGAAAGACAAGGGTCAAGAACGAGCCATTTGTGGCCTCAAGCTATCTGTGGACATGACTTTACTGTGAGCTCATTATGGCCAAAGAGCTAGAAGATAGGGGTGGACATGGTATCTACTGCCTAAACTAGATCCATCCCCCAATGTTATTTATCTGCAACCAGTTCTAGGTACAATCTTAAGGTCTCTGACAAAAATAAAAAAATGAAAAAAAAAAAATCCAGCCAGTGTTCACTGTAAGAGCAAAGGAGAAACAAGAGAGGAGTACAGAGGAAACATCTAGCACCCTGGGGGCGGGGGGCTGGGAGGCACCGGGACAAAACATCTCCGCAGAGCCCAGAGTTACTCACAGCGAAGATCTTGATGGAGAAGCCCACGTAATCCTGCCAGGCTACGCACAGGACGTAGGGCAGGTACAGCGTGAAGTAGATGATGCCCCCACAGGCTGCTGCCAGGTTGGCCCGAGAGAAGAGCGTGCTAATGAGGAAGCACTGCAGGATGGTCACCACAGCAAACATAGACAGGAAGACGAACACCACACTGGGGTCACTGTAGGGCAGCAGGTTTCCTAACTGGAGAGAAGAGTCTGGATGAACGTGTAGCCTGGGCAAGTCCAGTCACTCGTTCATGTAATCTTAACACTGGTTTGTACAGATAATGCTTTCAGAGATAATGCAGGGGAACAACGCTACTTGGTTTTCTGATGAGAAGTAACTTACTAGAGACTACACATGAAAAACCCACAGCAGAATTAAGATAAGTACTAAGTCCGGAACTTTCCTCTTGATCTTAGTAGACTACTTTGCTCTGTTTCTCACAAGAGATAAAGATATTTGGCTTCTCCTTGTCTAAGGACAACTACTGCCTCTAAGAAAAAAGTTGTGAGAGACAACAGCCCACATATCCTTTCTTTCCAAGAGCCCAGGAGAAAAGCCAGGCAACCTTAACTTTTCCCTGGAAACTACAAAGTCTTCCTTCATACACTGATCTAAATTCTTGGGGATATTCTGGGCTCTGAGTTCATCTGTAGTCACTGTGAACACTGAAGCAGGCCCCGACAACTTGCAGTTGACTTCAACAGTTCCCACACGCTGGGCACAGGACCCCTTCCCTTGTCACAAGGCTTAGGTCCTTGCCCTCAGATACCAGAGCATGAGAAAAGCGTTTGTTTCAGAATGGCATGCAAATAAATCTTGGTTCTGTCATCCCCGAGTACTTTCGTGAGGCTCTGACCTTCCCTCAGCACTCAATGGGTTATTGTAGGGAGGGTACACACTCACAGCATTTACTCCAAGCAGTGCTTGGCAGTAGTGAGTGCTCATTAGTGAGTGCGTACTATGTAGTGGCCGGTATGAAGATGAATGTTACATCCTCTTGTTCTGCTCACTTTCTTTCTCTTGGAATACACTAACTTTTACAAGAGGCATCTTTGTGTGAAATAACTGTTGAAGCAAAAAAGCTTAAGAGTAGATTTGTGTATGAGACAAAAACTTCACTGCCCAGACTCCATTTTAAGGGAGTCTGACTTTTATCTGACTACAGATAAAAGATATCCATATGTTAGCATCTCTGTTGTCATAGCTAGGAGAGCCACCAGGCCCCGGGACATCCTTTTCACGGTGAGCTCCCATGAGCCCTGATCCAGTGACTAAATGGGGCAAAGACCTTAGGGGAGAAGAATCTAGACTTTTGAGCTCAATGAGGGACACTCTTGGACAAGCTGCATATTCTCCAGAGCACCCCACTAGGCCACTGAATCATGGTTCACCTCCTCCCTCTGCATGACCCAGCATGTGCACCATTCTCTAGTTACTAAGCCCTAATAAATATCTATATCCCAAAGTCTGTCTCAGCCTCTTTCTCCAGACAACCAAACCTGTAACAGTGTCCAACCTTTGGACTGTTGCGTTTACAAACTTGGAAATAACCCCCATCCAGCACCCCTAAGAATAACACCCTAAGTACACAGTGTAGTCAGGTAAATGTGTGCTTCTCCAGCTGCTGGGTTCTAGCTGCTTAGCTACTGACCAACCCAGTGGATTGATCCGGCACAGGTCATTATCCTTCCTCTGGATTCAGAAATCATGGAATCACAGATGACACAGAAAGCCCTTTACCCACTTAGCTGTATTATTAGGCTATTCAAGAGTTCCCTGTCAAGAAGAGTGAGTGAGTCCACCTCACCTTCAAGATGACCACCAGCAGGCCAGCGCTCACGAGCAGAGGGATGAGGCTGCTAATGAACCAGCTAAACCAGAGTATGCCATTGTCCAGGCCCATGATCCGCATGGTCTCCTTCAACCGTGCCTCCTTCTCATACACAATGCCCTTGATGATCACAGCCACAGAGTAAATCCAGGCCAGGGTCATGAAGAGGGGCATTGACCGGCTCATTACCCGTAGGAAACTGGAGGCACAGAGAAAAGGCAAGGAAAAAATAAAGGAGACATGTGTAAACCAGGCACAGATCCAAGGTCTTGCATGCTGGAAGGAAAAACCACATTTGGGTCACCAAGAAGAGGCCCACCAGACTCTCAAGAGACTAAATGTTTCATTAGCGGTAGACAAAGATGAGAACCTGGGCTGACAGAGTGTAACCATGCAAAATTTCTTTAGGGGCTCACTTAAACAACTAGGAAATGCTTAGGGTGATATTAAAATAAAGGTAAGCTACTTTGCTAAGTACCAAACAATAAGGGTGAGGGGAGACTCCAAAGTGGTCTTTCAGGAAAGGATGGTGTCTCTAAGATCTCCCATTGGTTTGCTTTTACTCTTACACCGTGAGAAAACACATGTGCACATACACTCCACATGGAACTGGCTATCTAAAAAGATGCTGGCTTGTTGGTACACTCACATGTCATCAACATAACACGGGTAGGGCATCTGCTGCACATAGACACCCGTTTTCTTCTCAGTTCCTGTCAGCACCCTGATGATCGCCTGCTCCACAACATCCTGTAAATAGGCAAAGCCTCCCCAGACATAGCGCATATCTTCAAAGGGGTCAGCCCGGGGACCAGGGTCCCAGTACCTACAACCAAAAGAGCTGGTCAAACACTCCTGTAAAGCACACACTGAGAAATCTAACTACCCACAAGTTCTCCCATGCTTCCTTGGCCACTCTTCCTATTTTCCATTCTTAGCATAGCTGACAAGTACATAGATAGAAATGGATAGAAATAATCATAATGAACACACTCCTTATGGATATATTTTTCCTTCCCTCTTTTTTTTTGGCCACTAAGATTGCATCAGATTGACATACCAGAATTTCCTCAACCACTCCCTTTTTTCGGTTGTCTGCCTCTGCTTATAAAAGTATGTACGGCTAGCCTGGAGACGCCTAAAGGCTTTCCTTTCTTTCTCCTGACTTTTAAAGTCCTTTGGGTTAATCTTTTGAAAAGGAATGCTAAAACAGAAAGGCCAGGGCTTCACAGCCTTTGAATAACAGTCCCTACCAAAGGAGTTTTACCAAAGTCATGCTGCTGCCGATTGGTTGTTGAAACTCCTTCCGAATTGTTAATAAAGTACCACCAGTCATAAAAGCTATCCAGTTGTGTTCTCGACCTTTGCAAGACTGGGCCTGTGGGACTCCACCTACCCATCCTTGATCTTGTTAGTCCTCTCAACATTGTCAATGTCCATCCGGATCTTGTACTTGACATGGTGGGGGAGCTCCACACTCCCGGGGGTGATTCCTGTGAACACGATACCAGCCCAGAACTTCCTCTCATCCAGCAGCTCCATGGACTTGTTGATGAGCCGGACTTCTGTCGGGACGGGCTCCAGCTTGTTGAGGTTGACACACTGACAGAGGAAGGAAGCCTCATTAGAACACTGGTGACCAGAAACACAAGTGGTGGCCTGAACTCAGATTCCTTTGAGAGGCAGGAACTGGCTGCCCAAGTTCCTCAGTCTTTACCACCTAACCATATCTAAAGCAGTTGGTTTCAGCCAAGCTCAGAACTGAGTCAAATACTGAACAGGACTAGTTTTGTGTGATGGAAAATGGCCATATTTTATTCTCTTCCATTTCCTTAGCAATGCTGAGTCACGGCAGCTAATCAACTAAAAAATCACACAAGAAAAAAATTCTAGTCAGCCCTTTTCCTTTCCATTATTTTTAGGATCAAAGTTTTAAAGTTTTATCTGTACCAAATTAGATTAGATAAGTTCCATAAATAATACTTTATAATAGAGCAGTTTATTATCATTAGGATGTAGTATATCAAAACATAGGAAAACCTAGAAGATAACAAATAGGAACACTGGAGTCAGTCTGAAATACAGCTGGAAGTGAGTTTATTCACTCGTTAAGCCATTCATCTAGTGTTTATCTTGTTCACCAGGCCTGGAGGAGACAGCTGTAAATGACACTACACATTCATCTTGAGCTCTCCTGCTGCCTTTTACTTCATTGCAACATCTCAAAGGAACATGCCCTTAGCCTTTGCTAATCAATGTGCAGAGCAGACTCTCACCTCCATGAAGCGAGATATTGTCTGGATGGCCTGGTTGGTCTCATTGAAAGCTTCTCTCCACGTGTATACAGAGACATTTGGGGACTGAACATCCTCTGGGTTCTTGGCCAAAAATGCTATGATGTCTTGGGCAGTCCAATCTAATCCATCCAACTTCTGTTCCCAAAACTGGTCATTGCCTCTGCTGTCTAACAGTGTCTGTTATTCCAGGAAGAACACATGAATGGTGAATGTCAAGTTCATGGAAATAAGCGCTACATCAGCCACCACACAGCCTTTTGAACATACTCGGTCTGGTCGTGTATCTTACACACTTGTAAGATGCAATAACAAGGCTTCTATCTGACAAAGAAGACTGAGGTTAAAAACAGACGGCTGATGTTGGCCAAGGCTAAGTGATAAGTTGAGACACAAAGTCAGACCTCTGAACTCACAGTTCACAGGCTTCCCACTGTACCAGACAGTGCAGGTTAACTGTTTTAACCCTAACAACAGTAATAATAATGTGGCGAGGGATCTATAGGCATCACAACTCACACAACTCCAGAAGGATGCAGCTTTGATACTTTCACACACAGGAAAATGGACACTTCAGGGATGTTAATGTAGCTAATGAGTGAGAAAGCCAGGCTAGAAAAGAGGCCCTGATTCCAGCATACCCACTACATTGTATGACCCCTCTTTTTGAGACATGGTTTGATGATGTCAAATAAGAACCCTATCTGTAGTGTGAGCCCACATTTAATGCTGAATCCAGGGAAGAAATACTGCTGGTTAATCCAAATAAAAGATGGTATTTTCTAACACCAGAACATATGGATAATAATGTAGAAAACAAGGAGTGTTTCCTATCACCTGTCAAGGTCAGAAAGGTCATCACAGCTAAGCCATTCTGGTCTTCAACCTGCCAATCCAGGGGGACTGGGGCAGAAGTATGCACAGGTGCACTGCCAGGAAAACGGGGCAACTGCTGACTAGACAAAATGGAAACACAGCTGCCACGCTCACTTCTCAGGGGAGCAGGGGTCCTAGACCTAGATCTCCAAAAGCCTAAAAGCAGCTTCCTTAATCAGTCTTATTTTTACTAACCTTGCAAGCTTCCCCTCCACCATGGCCTCCTCTTTGTTGTTTTAATGGGAACATAATGATTTTACAGAGTGTAGCTACTACAATTTTATTAACTATTCCTGTACTGCAGAGCATTTAGCCTATCTCCATTTTCTTATAACGATTACTACAGTAATAACATTTTCTCTCCCTTGGTGACTTCTTTAAAACTATTGTTGTAGTATGCATCCCCTGGGGTGGGGATTGTGAAATAAAGGTACAGCAAATGACACATTCTTAGTGGGTTTTGAAACTTCCATTTCAAATTGATTTCCATGAGAGAATAGCAATGTACACTGTCACCAGTGATGTACCAGTATAATTTTTTGTTAACAGATGCAAAATTATACAGAAGTCCACTGAGGCATCAGTTAACAATTCTGAAACTACTTTATTTAGACACTTGGAAGTAAATGAACCAAAAGCACAGAAAAGGAATGGCAGGACTGTGGGTAAACCCTGGCCAGTGTGGCTTCTAACCAGTAGGGCAAGAGGATATACCCAGTGAGGTCATTAAGCCCACAGCCTCTCTAGGGAGCTTGAAAGGAATAGAAGACCTGATATTTCACATAAAACGCTAGACAAGGAGAATGCAGGGCATGGAAATGAGGGACTAGGTCCAGTTCAGAACAACAACAGTAATAAAGCAGGTTAGGTCAGAAAGTCCTTAGGCTCAACAGAAACGTGCCTCCAGGTCTGCAGAACGTACAATACAAGCCAATAAAACTAGAAGCAACCAAGAAATGAGAGCTTACAGAAGCAAAGCAGAAGCTCCAAGCATCACCTGTACACCAGGCACCAGTTTGCTGAGGACTGAGAAACCCAGGTTGGTGGGTTAAAGTAATACTCCTTAGGTCAGGGAAGAACGTACTGGGATAAGACCCGTCTGATTTCCACGGGCAGGGTGGCAATCTGCATCCCCAGACCATTTGCCCTTCTATATTACAGACACCAAAAGCCATCAGCCTCTTGGCAGACCTCCCATCCTCCAGCCTGTCCAGGTAGAAGTAAAGACTCTCCTGGTACCATCCTCTTCTTGCCTTTCTACCATAAGCTGTTACCAGACCTCCTCTTTTGCACTCAGTCCTTGCCACCCACTCATGCAGTCTCTGCCCTGTCTGCCTTGCCCATCTGTCTCCTAGAACAATGCATCTCCGCTTGCTTAAAACCATCTGACACCTCCCCTCTAAATGTAAAGATCCTCAGCTTGCCACACAGGGACCCCAAGACCTGTTATGCCTTTCCTTCCTGTCTCTGCATCTTCGCTTCTATTACACACCCAGGATTCTCCTGGATAAGTCCCTAGTGAAGCTGCCATGTTTATCTGGACTTATCCCTTAAGAACAAAGAATGTTGGAGCAGCTGCAGCCTCCAAAGCAAACTCTTGATTTAGAAGCAGGGAAGGCCAGGCACGGTAATTAGCGCCTGTAATTCCAGCACTGGGAAAAGCTGAAACAGGAGGACTGCCATGAGTTTGAGGTCATCTGGGGATACACAGTGAGTTACAGACAAGTCTGAGCTACACTGTTTCTTGGTATTTTGGTTTGTTATTGATTTTTAAACAGAGTAGGGAAAAATCTATGTATTCCCAAATCCGATTAAAATTCTCTAAGTTCCTCCACTCTGACTGCCAACAATAGTAAGTGCAAGAAATATGGATGCTCAAGGAAGAGATCAAGGAAACAAGGCCTAGGGCACAGGCTGCAGTGTTTCCTGTGGCAGGCTCATGTGAATGAATCCCTAAGAAGAGGAAGACTGGAGCTTAAGGGAGAATGATGCCCCGAGAGTATACACCTGTGCCATGAATGCATGAGACTGTTGCTCTTGATGTCTCCCCCAAGCCGCCTGTTCATAAAGGCCCCAAGTTATGAACTCTGCACAGGTGTAGCCACACTGATGTCTCAAGGGAGGCTCTGGCTCCCGTATCTTCAGAGACTCTCTGCACAGTAACCTGTCTCCCAGGGGACCCAGAACACCTCTAAACTTCCAAAGAAGTACAGCCTCTAAGACCCCATCACCCCTCAGGCCACACAGGTTCAAGACCAGAAACCTAACAGAAATCCTCCCTCGCTTCGTGATGGCAGGAGAAATAAAAGGAAGCGGCCTCCCTCGCTATGGCAATAGGAAGTTGTCTACTGATCCCAATTAGGGCTGAGGCAGGAATTACATGACTGCATGACTCTTGCCCTGATTCTCTCTGGAGCACCCCTCCCTTTCAAGTGGCACCCACATGTTAAGCGCATTTCCGGTGCTGCATTCACTCCGTGCCTGGGGAATCAGTACGTCTGGCCTGTCTGCATGCCAGATCAGGCTTCTGTCCCCACACCTCCTACTAAGACCTACTCAGGCACAGAAGACACTGTGTCTACCTCAGTGGCTGGAGCCAAAATAAAAATACTCAGTGTCCTGCAACCACCAAACTCTACTTCCAATTTCTGGTCTTCACAGGGATTTGTGCAAAGCTACTACTGGGCCAAGAGGGAGGTTAATGCTGATATACCCAGGGCTATCACTGCACAGCGGCCTTTGCTTCTACAGAGACAGTGGCTGTGCGGCTTCCACTAATCTCCATCGGGTTAACCTACAGCATTGTCATCTCAGGTATTCCTGGCAAGATGTCCAGGAAGCTTTTCTAGATCAGGTGGGTAAAGTAAGTGGAGAGACACTCACGCGGACGAGGTCCATCTCTTGGCTGTTCTCCATGAAGGTCCAGATTTGGGGGCTGAGTTCTCTCCACATGCCCTCCAGGTCATGGAACACAGCCAGTTCCTGGAAGGTCTTGTTCACCTACAGTCAGGTGAGAAACCGGGATTCGTACAAGCAGAAAAGAGGCAGAGGCAATGAGCATTCCAAGGTTCCCTGAAAACTACCACCCATTACAGAACCCCCTGCCCATCCTATCTGCTTCCTCAGGAAATCCCTCCTTTAGCTCTAATTCAAACACTCAGGGCTGGGGAGCTGGCTCCCAAGGTTACATGTGGGGTTTTTTACATGTGGCCATGAGTATATACTCAGCACACTCTATCTGTAGCTGTCATCAATTCCTGCCTCTAGTTTTAGGGAGATTCTGGGGACAGAGTCCTAAGCCTGGGCAGCTTACCTCAGCCATGACCTGCCTTGTAGCTGGAGTGTCAGGTGTGTAGAGAATCTTCCCCACAAGCAGGGGCTTGAGTGCCTTCCAAATAATTCGAGAAAGAGGACTGGACTCCAAGTTCTTCATCATATCATTGCAGTAAGGAGCTATGAAGAAGACAGAAGACAGACACTCACTAATGTACATGGCCAGATGCCAACAGGAACTTAGGTTTTGGAGCCATGGCCAGTGGAGGGTGCAAAACCCCAGTCCACCACTTAACAGCCATGGAGCATATAACTTTCCTTAGCTGAGCCTCAGTTTGCTCCACTCTAAGACAAAAGTGTGTAACATCTACTTGGTGGAGCTGTGAAGAGGATTCATTGAAGCGTTTCTAGGGAGGTCTCTGAAGCGCTTGGTGCTTGAAATAATCATGCCCTTTCTAAGACTCACATTGGAGCTGATCTAAAAGAATGTTTTGACAACACACATGACATCCCAGCTAGGAGTGGTATAGCTAAACCTTGAGGAAGCGCTAAAAAATGCTCAATTGCTATCCAGAAAGGCAAAGAGGATGGACATGAGAAGAAGGAGAAAAGAGGGAACAAGTCAGGAGCCTGACACAGAGGACCTCTGAAAAGCTCTGCCCTGCAGACTATCAATGCAGATGCTGAGACTTATGGGCAAGGCAACCTTTGGGCAGTGTGCAGGGAATCTTAGGAAAGAAGTGGGAAACAGTAAGATCTGGAGAGGACAGGAACTCCACAAGAAGAGCAACAGAACCAAAATATCTGAGCACAGGGATCTTTCCTGAAACTGATACTCCAATCAACTATGCGTGGAGATAACCTAAGACTGGTGCATAGATGTAGCCCATGGCAGTTCAGCATCCAAGTGGGTTCCATTGTAATAGGAACAGGGACTGTCTCTGACATGAACTGATTGGCCTACTCTTTAATTACCTTCCCCTGATGGGGAAGCAGCATTACCAGGCCACAGAAGAAGACAATGCAGCCATTCCTGATGAGACCTAACTGAGTAGGATTAGAAGGAAGGGAAAAAAAAGACCTCCCTTATCAGTGGACTTGGGGAGGGGCATGCATGCAGAGGGTGGAGGAAGGGAGCAATTGGGACGGGAGGAGGGAGGGAACCACAGGGGGGATACAAAGTGAAAAAACTGTAATTAATAAAGAATTTTAAAAAATGATAAAGCATAAATCTCTTCAGATGAAGTAACATGTGTTTTTTCAAACAATCAAAGAGAAGAAAAAGGGCAAAGTTTTCTTAAAATAAATGGTATTCTAAAAACAAAACAACAACAGAAAAAAACCAACATCTGATCATTCTTAGAAGTTTTTCTGGCTTTACTGAGGTATAACTGAAAAGTAAAAGTGATATGTATTTAAAGTATACAACCTGATGTTCTGATACATATGTCCACTGTGACATGATTAACACAACCTCGTGAGGCTAATTAATACCTCTGTCACTTCCTGCAGACGCCCAGTGTGGCTAGACAGGAACATTGTGATTAACTCTCTCAGCCACGTTTAAAGACGTGACCCAGGGTTAGCAAGCCCTCACTATGCTGTCCATTTCCTCTCCAGAGTACTCCGACTAACACCTCCAAGCCCTCCGTCACCCTCTCAGGCCCCAGCAACCTCTTTTCTTACCTGCCTTGTGGAGTGTTTTTGGTTTGTTTTTTGTTTTTAGGTTCCACATATGGTTGAAAACTGAGGAGACTGGCTATCAAACTTATTCATCTTTTTGATAATGCTACGAAAACACGATGTACCAGCCTCTCCCCTCCGCCCCCAACTCCATTCAAAGAAGTTGAATGGAGAATCCAGAGCTCTGTACTCAGGGAGTAATGTCATGAGTAAACAGAGAGGACGGCCTCTCTGCTACTGCACAGAATGAAGGGGAGCAGGAGGACTGGGTGACACCAGCAGAGCGCAGCATAAGGACATGGCTTTGGATTGCCCAGCACTCACTTGTGGAGTTGTCATAGAAGGTATCCATGTCGTCATCGGTGCCGTTGCCTCCAAAGAGGGCTTTGTAGTTGTTATCCTCGTACCAGTTGAGGGACTTGATCTTCAGGCCCCCTCCCTCCGGGTGACCACACACAATGCGGGACACAGCCTGGTATATTTGGGTGGAGGAGCTGGAGCTGTTCACATTGGTCAGAAACATCACCTCCTGCCGCATGTCGCTCCAGCTCTTTGTGCTGAACAGCTGGTATAGGACAGGGAGAGACAGGAGAGGGAAGGGGAAGGGAGCAAGGAACAGAGCAGGGGTTGGAACAAGAGAGAAGTAAACACTTTATTTTCTTAGCCTAAAGCTGTGTTCCGAACATACTGTGCCTAACATCATCTTGCAACCCTGTGAATGTTATCTGGGGCCTTCTTTCTTCTGTCTGTGGTGCTGGGACCCGCAGCATTTGATTATGGAGTTATCCCAAATTGGTGGCTCTTCCTAGCACCTGCCTGAGGGGAGAAATCTTGCCTATTCTCCAGCACTGGGCTCACCCTGTACGCTTTCTCTGTGAAGTGCCCTTGCTTACAGGAGAGGGAAACCACACATGTTCTAGCCCAAGAAGGGTGGTTGTACTTGAGATCATCCGATGAAACAAATGGACAGGTGTGTCGCACTCTCCATCCTCCATCTGCTGCAATGTCCCTCAACCTCCCTTACTGTCACTTCAGTCTCTTCCTCAGGACACCGGCCGGAGTGTAGACATTTTGCAAACAGGAAGCCACATTAAATCCCCTGCTTTCAGCTCCTCTGGCCTCCTTCATGGATCCTAAGCTTGTCCTCAAGCATGCCACAGTAGCAGTGCTTTTTAATCTGCAGTTCTTCCTGCCTCAAATAGCCTCACTTCTCTTGGAATACACCAGCATTGTCTTCAGAGTCAACTTACCCCACTCTCTTTAAAGTGGTATCGCATCACTGTTTCTACCTCCCTTGCCTGATTTCTTTTCCTTCATCGCACAGATCCCAGTATTAGCTGACCTGTTAATTTCTGGTCACATCATTGGCTGACCTGTTGATTTCTGATTTCTACCCTTATGGGAGCTAAGTGATGGCAGTGAGGTCACTGTGCTCACTGCTGAGCTGCAACAGCTGGCATGGCCGAGCACCTGCCTGTACTGTGTGAGTGTCTGCGACACTCTGCCTTCAGTTCCGCTTTCTCGGTCCTCTCCTGTATACCTTCCCTCTCGCTCACATACGGCATTAACGTCAGCTCTCACTCAGCCTCATATCCCCACTGCCAGGCTGACTAACGCACATATTCTTTTAGCGTCTCTGTTCTATGGCAACTATTGCAGGAGTCTGTGAGGAATCCCTGGTTGGAGCATATCAGAACACAAACTTCCAGAGTTTAGAGGCTCCAAGTTCACATTCCACTCTGACCAATTAACTTTCTAGACAACTGTGGGCAAATCATCCACTTTTCTGAGCCTCAGTGCCCGCTGGGAAAGAAGCCAATAAGAGGCACCCTACTGTGCCATGTGCATGATCTAGGCAAATGAAGTTAAAAGCCAAAATCCACCTGTGACACACTGTCCTTTCCTGGCAATAGTTGGGCTTTGAACATAACAACCAACTTTCTTTCTAAACATGGACCAAGCAAATGCACTCCTTGATCAGTACTCAGAAAGAGCATAAGCAACAAGTGAACAAAGTGACTTGAGGGTGACCTGTCAGGAGAGGCAGGCCCCCAACTGCTGGCGCTGGGCACGGAGAAAGCAGGCTCCAAGCAAAATGTACCCAAGTCAGGTGGAGATTTCCCCCCCCATTCAGCCACAGGGCACATCATGTGCTTTTAATTGTTTTCTTTTGCCCCAGAATAAAATGATAGAAGAGAAACTCACTGGAGTGTATAGGCTCTACCCCTTTCCCCCGCCCGCCCAACCCGGCCATTACTATTCCTGCTTTGCTTTCTCTAAGGCCAGAAATGAGCAGTAGGGAATGGCACAAGGAGGGGACCTTACAGAGCAGGGCACGGCATGACAATGTCAACTCACAGGGCCCTACGGGAACAGATATGGACTTGTAGTGCAGTTTCTCTTTCTGTCTTCTGGCAGAACCCCAACTGGTCCAGCTTCTCCACTTATTCAAAGGTCCTCACCCTCTCAACCAGAGGAATAAGTAACAGCTGACAAAGGCCTGCTCCTGAAAGCGGGGCGTGAGAGCCAAGCCCTCTGTCAGCCTGAGCGGAATTAAAACACGAAGGAGAAGGTGCACAGTGATGTGCTGTGCTTAATCCCAGTTTCCTAAACTCTCCAAGTGCGCTGCTCGCTAAGGGGTGAATGTGAAATACTTCTATCGTCAGAAAACAAGGTATCTTTTAATTTTTAGAGGGAAAAAAAATGATAAGCATGGAAAATGAGTTGAAGGATCAGATGGCGATAAGGCTGGACCAAGTCTGAGAAAACTATTGTGTTCTAGTGTCCTGAACACTGTAGCCTGCCTTGTGGTCCACCCATGACCAATGGAACAGACGGTGCCTGGGATTCATGAGAAAGGTTCACTGTAATATCAGGACAAGGTCTACTCTGACAAGTGTGACAACATACAGACCTACAGCCAACTCAGCTCAGTGCTCACTAAGAAACCATATTCTCAATGCTTGAGCCTCAGAGGCCAGATTTCACCAGGCAAAGTAGGGCCCAGAAAAGTAGGGAGGCACAGCACTCCCACAGGCTGAATCGGTGGGCCTTGTTACTGAAGAAGCTGCTGTTGAATGAAGTCAGTACACAGTCTGGAAAGGAAGTGAGAGAGAGTTCTCCTCTTCACAAATGTGCAGTTACCTAGAGGCAGAAGATGCTCACAGAGAAAGGTTGAGACTAGCCATGGAGCCCTAATTACTAGCCCAAGCCACTTAGTATCCCTGCAACATTGACACATTTTAGTTTCTTCTTCTCCAATGCAGATCAAAGCTGGTAAAATTTTAGGTTACTTGTGCTTTTAAAATGTAATATGCCATAGCATATCATGTTCAAAGTACAAGGACCCTATTAGTAGAATTCAGAACTAAAGAAAGCAATAGCAGCTAGTCTGTCCACTATGGTAAAACAAACAAACAAACAAACAAACAAACAAACAAAACAAAACAAAACAACTTACCTCTTGAGCCAGGTTCCCTAAGCTGTCCAGCAGCATTCTGGTGGCTTCAGCCAGATGCTGGGTCAGGAGAGGAGATGTGGAGTTTAGTCTTGTCTAGAAAGAAGGAAAAAAAAAATACTTTGTCTCTGAGCGCAAATACAAGCCTGAAGTCTCTAAATAGAAAATAAACAAGTAAAGCAAAACCATTCCTCATCTTGAATTTACAAAACAAGAAACCAACTTCTAACCAAAATAAAGAACACTGGAAAATTACGTCAAGAGCGGCCATGCTCTTTGGTGAATGGTTGTAGGAATACAAATTTAAGGGTGGTGAGCAGACAATGTGTAAGAATATCTCATATGCTGCATATGGGTGGGCACACGCTTGTGTGTGTGCATGTATGCGTATGCCCGCACTTGTGTGTGCATGTGAGCCCAATAAAATTCTGACCAGGAAGTCCCTACTCTATCTACAATTCTGCAAGATACGTATTTACAGGCGTGGCGTTGAGAAAAGAGTCCATGACTGTTCAGAAAAAAAGGGAAGAAAATACAAAATTCAGTGATAGCCAAAGCAAGAGAAGGAGTCTCCTTTTGCTCTGTTGAGTCAGCACTATTTTTACTGTTCTGGACTCTGGAAATTTAACACAGAATACTGTTTTTGTGCCTAGTGTTAGTCAAGACCTGGTATTTACTAAATAATATATTTAGTTGTTATGACACAAAACTTAGCAGCACACAAAACATGAGAAAATAATTAATTAGGCCCAAAGGAAATATACATTATAATAGAAAGCTGAAGGAGGGAAAGCCCACAGGCTCTGACACCGGAATTGCTGAAGAATGAATTCCAACTTTAGTTCCACGATTAGGAAGGATAAGGAAGAAACCTCCAGTGGGAAATGCAGCTTTTCTTTGTGTTTTCACATGTTCTGTTTTGCTTTATTCAAAATTGTAACAAACACCTCATGAATTTTAGTCTGTTTTGACAATGCTCATCATGTCAACAATTGCTATGACGCTATAATGCTGAAGCTACACAGAAAGCCGGAAGTAAACAGACTAACTTGTAAGGAACGGCCTTTGAGACATTCTTATCTTTGCATTTTTGACATGTTCTTTAAAGTTCCAAATGCAGAACACTGAATTATGAACATCATCATCTCAGTGGCTGGCAGTCCTGGATACACAATTCAAAAAAAAAAAAAATCTGCTTGTAAAAGAACTGTGAAGCTGGACACATGGGCTCTTCTGGAAGGGCTTATGAATAGGAATCAAGTCCCAGAATTCCAACACTCAGTCCTCTGAGGAACTTGTGTTCACCCATAAATGCTATACTTAAGAACATCTGTGCTACAACTCAAAAGATCATGTCAAAGGCTGTTCCTCCCAGAGAAAGGAACTCAGGAGCAGAAGCAGTGGGCTTTCTCTCTTCTGCTTCACTTTATAACTGAAGAGCCGCACAGCAGAAGTTGAACCCATGATTCCCCACAGTCAGGGAAATGCTTACAAATCGAGAGGTCCTAATCAGAAGCGGCAGGAGGTAAACTGGTTTTGTGTCTAACCTGGACCATCACCACAATGACTGATGTTCAAGATTACAAAGCAAAAAATAAACCAGGAGAAAAGAAAATTGCCAGAGTCACCTTATATGCATCTCTAAAATCTGAAACTTACGTGTACACATTTCTTTTTTGAAGTCTAGAGAACCCTAGGCAAGTGACTCAAACCCCCCACCCTCAGCTACTCTTCCACACAGCGGCCATGCTCAGCACATCAGTGTCAGAAACACTGAACTGCAAGACACCCACGAAGTTCTTTGGCCCTCATGACCAAAAACAATTTAATGCCCCCCACACTTTCCCCTTCTTAAAAGCTTACTACCAGTGGTTCCTGTATGCAGAGTTTCCCAGTGCCCAAGAAGACAACTGTCCTGCCTCTGTGCCTTGCCCTGTGACAATCAGGTCTACAAAGACAGCAAGTGCAAGGGATATTTCTACCCTCAACAGTGTGAGCAGTCAGTCCTATAAGGCTTCTCTATCTGAAGAGATCTGTATTTTCATAAGTAATAATCTCCCTCTCTCTGGGTTGTAATTTGGGCAGTATAGGGGAAGCTTATTCTCCTTTTGTTTCCTTAATTCAAGAACAGTAGGTATGAACCTTGACCCTGCCTGTTTAACCCTTGAGCGTAACTAGTCTCAGATGTAAACACAAGAACCTAGTTACTCTGCCATGAGTACCAGACCCCTGATAAGCAATGTCTCGTGAGATGATCTGACCGTCAGTAGTCAAAGGTCTGCACTTTGGTTCTGTAGGCTTAACTGGTGCACCGAAATCTTGGCCTGTTATTGGCTAAACCAATCCATACATCATATGGCACAGCAGTCAATGTCACTGTGAAGATCTGTTTCACAACAGTTGTTTAAAAACAACTCAGGCCTGGTGAGGAAAGTGAAGGTGTCTACTGCCAAGTCTACGGCCTGAATGTGAGCACTAGGATTTACACGGCAGAAGGAGAGAACTCCCGCAAAGTGTCCTATGACCTCCACACATATGCCATGGGATATGCGTGCCACACACAAACAAGTAAAATATAATTCAAAAATAATTTCTAAGTAGATGTTCAGTATACTTTACCAATATCAGAGCCCCGCAGTTGATACAAACTGATGCTCAAGGCACAGACTGATGTAACCGAGTTAAAACAAATGCACACAATTCAAATTCAGCCGCACCAAGCTTGGATTATTTAAGTATTTTTTTTGCTCCAGACCTCGTTCTCTTTTTCTCTGCTTGGATCTTACAGGATATAGCAGTAGTGCTGATGGAACTTGGCAGAGTGAAATGTTTTTAACTGACTATCAAAAGATAAGCTATTCAAAACTAACTCCTAGATCTGTTAGATGGCCATGTTTTCCATCTTACCTCATTATTTATAAGTAAATTCTGGAGAGATTAAGGAGCTTTAAAAAAATAAAAGTTTAAAACAAATTGGGAAAATGTTAGAAAATATATTTATGAGCTAAGGAAGAATTAAATAAATATATATATCTATATTAATCCAACCAAAAAGAAGAAAGTAGATCTACATATTACATGTAAAAACAGTGTATCAAATGATACCATAAATAACCCCAAAATTAAGTAAAAGATTAGAATGATATTTTTTTAACTTTAGTGTAAAATGGAATGCCAGATAGCAGTTAGTATTAACCAGCTGCACATCCACCAACGTTGATTAATCCCCAAAACTGTAAAGCTTCCTGAGAAAGAACGAAGGCATCTCAGCCCACACACATACACCATCTGAACACTTGCGAGGCCACAGATACCATAAACATGTATACACCACGCACTGCAGTTGACAGTATTTAAATATATACAGTACTGTATAAACACATGCAACTCCAGATTAGGGGCTGCCTTTGAGGAAACAGACAGGGTTACAAAAGTAGTAGTCACGGCATCTATGATGGTTTAATTCTTGACTACAGTCTGATGTAAGTTACCTAGTAACTGGTGTTGTTTCTCTTATATTCTCTCTCTGTCTCTCAACATAAATTTGAAATGTTTCCCAATTTTCTTTTTAACTCAATACAATTACAATATAGGGGGGCAAGGACGACTGAACAGGAATGAAGGGTAGAATTCTTATCAGACGTAAGAGGCAGCTACCTTCTTTGAATAGAGTTAACTTCAAAAATAGCTTAGGCCTTGAAACCTGAACGCAGACTGATGCCCACACCGGTTATTCATGGTGGCCTCCTCTCACACATCCTTGATAAAGGCAGAGCTTGCCACAACAGCGCTCCAGAAAGCTCCAGCAATGCATTTAACATGCTCAGGAAGGCACAGCTCAAAATTCCTATTGCTTTTTTCTGACTGAAAACCTCCTCTTGACTATTAACTCAAGTAAGTTTGTATTATACACAGGAAGAAAAGTATTTTCCTGCAAAGAGTAAAGAAACGGTACAGAAAATATGAATTAGTTAAGGACTGTAGTTTCGGTATTTAGCTCAACAGGAAGGCATCTATTGTTTGATATATTTAGATCACAAGTAAATACTGTAGTATCACAGAATACAAATTCTTACTGTATTATTAAAGACTTCCACCAATTTTCTGCAATATGTATATACTATATTAAGGCAGTATTTCCTAAAAGAGCATAAATGACAAAAGCTATTCTGTCCCCACCCTCTCAGAGTCTAGCAGATGATCAGTCCTTATATCCTCACTGGTTTAACAGTCATGCTGTGAAAGGCGGAAGCATTTTAAAAGTTAAGAAACAAGCAAAGTCCACTTGTCTTTCATTTCTGAGCCGGTATTTTATTCAATATATGGTTTTGCACATCAGGGTTTTAGCATAGCACACTCAGTAGATGTTTCCAGGAGAAAAGCTTAAAGGGTGGGAGACACATCTCAGAAGGAAGAAATGACACAGTGTGATCCTGTCTCAAAAGCCACACAAACCCCTGGACGTGCTCCGTCTTACATCCCCTCCGCAAGTCACTAACCTGGTCACCTGCAATGGCTGCCACTGGTCCACAGATAACAAATGGTCCTCTAACATGACTCACACAGTCTGCCTCTAATAAGGCTGTGTCCGCTCACTTCCCCAGCATCACATCTCATCACTGTTCCTCCTGTGTCCCCATGGGTACATCCACCCTACCCTGAATGATCCCAGTCACACACGGTTCCCCTAAACACCACTTTCTCTTCCTGTTCCCCTCCAGACCCTGCACATACCATCTTTTCTTTGGGCAACATTCCCTATTCTTTACCTGGCTAATATCTTTTATTTAGGCCTCAACACGGAAGACATTTTAACCTGCTGAGTCTAACCTGGGCTAGATGGCCATCAGGGCCTTCAAAGCACCTAGCATAGCATCTATTGTCACTACACAGCACCTGCCCCTTTCCTGCCTCGCCCCATCCCTTCCTCTCCTCCAGAACAGAAATCAGCACCGACTGACTCCACACGACTGCCTCCCTGACCCTGCTCACAGTACTGACCCAACTCACTGAACACTCGAAGAAATCTGTCTGCAGATAATGACTATATAAAATGAAGTAGAAATATTATTTATTACCAATGCATCATAAGTCAC